GAACTTTTCATTAAATCAGAAAATTCAAATCTATTCCTAAATAACATAAAAAATTACTTCATAGAAAACCCTTTTTACGAGTTAAAAGAATATCTCGACGCAAATCTCCCCAATCCCTAAATTGCCTGAATGTAGTCCCCTAAGTCTTCAGTCTTAGTTCTTCATTTACTGTTTTTTTATTTGTTTGTTAAAATTTTTGTTACATTTATTTGATGTTAAATTTTGTTCCATTATATTATTTGACGAGTGTTAAGCTCATAAATTTGTATGAATTTCATGAGGCTGTTGCATTAATAAATATATTATTATTATTATTATTATTATTAATTAAAATCAAAAATAAATTTCAACGTCTCTCCTTAGACACTACATCACTATTAAACTCAAGAATAGAAACACAAACCTTCAAACTTATATTTGATAATTCATCTGAATTCTTCTTTTTGAATATGTACATCAATCCCACAAGTAAACTTCTACTGAACAACCTTTCGACCTTCTTTGAATCCAATTACCTGGTTGGCAAACCTCTGTTCTGGGCTGGTGACTGTAATTCAGAACACCCCCTGTGGGGCTACCCTTCTAGTGACCCTAGAGGCGAAGTTCTTGTTAACCTTTCCCATCAATTAGATCTTTTCAATATCAACTCACTTAATCCCCAACCAACAAGAAAAACTGCTCCGGGCCGTAGCCTTAGATTCAACGATTTGGCCTTTATTTCTGAACCATTCTGTAGGAACACTTACTGAAAAGCTCTTCAAACAGGTGGTATTGATCACCTACCATGCTCCTACTTCTTAAATAAAACAATCTCTTCAGATATCACTTCGATACCTTCCACCTCCTCATTTGCTCCTCCTAAACTAGAAAAGTTACCAAAATTGGAAAACTGGAGTTTGTTTAAATCACACCTTAATCAACTTCTCACTTGTTCCTATTACAGTTATGATAATATCATCAAAATAGTGAAAGAAGCCTACGCCAACAGCGTTAGAGATGAGAGATTATTGAAAACTCCTCATTCCCAGTTTGTCCAACTCCCTCCCTCTTCTCCGACAACCACTAATCCTTCTAAACCCAAGAAATATAAAGGAATTCCCTGGTGGAATGAGGAATGTCAAATGTTAAAAAATAAACGTGACTTTCTCCTAAGAGATTACCAGAGTAATTGTTCCTTTTCTACTTTCTTAGAATATAAGAAGACCAACGCTGAATTTAAACTCCTAGTTAAAAGTACAAAAAAGAAAAATTGGAGAGAATTCACAGACAAACTTAATCATTTTACTCCTGCCAAAGAAATTTTTGAAAAAGTTAGGATTCTTAACAGATCACTAACCCCGCATCAAGACATTAATTTTGATTAGATTGATGATCTTCATCTAACCCTTACCCCTGATTCTCAGTTCTCTAAACAATGGAACAACTCTTCATCCTTCTCTAACTCATTTGAAAAAATCTCGAAAGAAGAATTCTTTTTGGCAATTAAGAAACTTAAAAAGAAAAATCCTGGTTTAGAAAACACCCTGGTTGAATTCATTTCAGAAGCCCCCACCAAAGCCCAAAATATCCTCCTTGACATTTTTAACAATATCTTAATTACCAAAAAGATCCCCGATTCCTGGAAAAACGTTAAAATTTTCACCAGTCAAAAGAAAGATAAAGACCCTCAATTGGCCTCTTCCTACAGACCGATTGGAATTATTTCAGCATATAGAAAACTTTTTGAGAGAATAATTCTTAACCGTTTAGAGTACTTTCTCGAAAAAAATCACAAACTTTCTCCCTTCCAATACGGATTTAGAAAGGGTAAAAATGTTTATCATAATCACTTTCAAATATCCAGCCATGCCTATAAGGCGATCGGTGAAAAAGCATATATGACAACACTTTTTTTGGATATTAAAAATGCCTACAATAACGTTAACTATAATATCCTTTATAAGAAACTCATTGCAATTGGCATTAACCCTGACCTAGCACGTATTATCTTTAATCTTATTTCAAATAACTTCATTATAGTCTCATATTTCAATAAATCTACGAATCCTCGCCTCCAACCTAAAGGCCTGACCCAAGGTGGTATCCTTAGCCCGTTACTTTACCTTATCTACACCTCTGACTTATTTAGATCCCTCTCTACATCATACATTTCAGAATTTGCTGATGACATATCTATTTATAATATCCATAAGAAACTAGATGTAGCGATGGAGTTACTTAATTCAGACCTTAAGTGTATTGACAATGCACTCTCAGCTCTAGGACTTGACCTTTCTCTCCCTAAAATCCAGGCTATTATTTTTTCTACTAGGAGACTCCCTGAAAACCTATCTTTTAATCTTGATGATTTCTTAATCCCTGTACTTCTCTCGGCCACCTATTTAGGCCTCCTATATACTAGGAAAATGAACTGGCTTCCACATATTAATTCTATTAAACTTAAAATTTCTTGTAAATTAAACATTTTGTCATATCTACATGGTTCTTCTTGGGGTATTAACCAGGACGTTCCTCGAAAACTTTTCATTAGTATGATTCGCCCGATTCTTGATTTCGGCCTCCCAATATACTGCAGAAATTTTAATCTTATTGAAAGAACCAATATACTTCAAAATTCCTGCCTACATAAAACCTTAAGTGTTCTTAGATCAACCCCTACCAACAATCTAAACGCTGAGTCAGCTATCCCCCCTATCCTTAATAGATTTAACTTCCTAACAGACAAACTTCTAATCAGAGCAATGAGCCTGAATCACAGCCCCATTATTAGGAATATAAAGATGCTTGAGAGATCAATTATGAATAGTAACTATTGGGTCAATAAACAACACCCACTTTTTCTTAACAGATGGTTTCTGAGAAAACCTTTACTTCCCAAAATCTTAAAAAGCGATTTACCGTGCTCGCTTATGAGAGATCCTGTTTTCCAATTTTTCCAACCTAATACCATCTTCCTAGACATTCCTAAAAAAAAACTAGCTGACCACATTTCAATCCAAATGAACTTTAACGAATTAATGAGATTAAAATTTAGGAACTTTACCCAGTATTATACTGACGGCGCCAAGACGGCTGAATACACCACGTCAGCCTTTCTCTCTAATGAATTCTGTAAAGTCTATTCTCTATCGGAATATAATTCTATATTTGAAGCCGAAACGTGGGCTATTCTCCAAGCTGTTGAACATAGTATTAGCCTTAATCTTTCCAATGTTGCAATTTGTACAGACTCTCATGGCGTATTAGTTAACCTGATTAATCAAAAACCGGACCTCCACCCCCTCATTGAAGAAACTAAAGAAATCCTGTTTAGACACCGAGAAAGGAATATTTGGTTGATCTGGATCCGTAGTCACTCAGGGATATTAGGTAACGAAAGAGTTGATCAATTGACTAAATCTATTCATTTAGCTCAGTCAGTTGATAATAAAATCTTTTTTAAGCAATTGTTCCCCCTTATCTCCCAACAAAACTTTAATGATTGGAATTCTGATTGGATAGCTTGTACGTGGAAAGGACAAAGACTAAAATCTCTTCTCCCTACCCTCTCTCGTAAACCATGGTTTTACAGACTTGACTGGAAACGTTCCCTTATTACGAATCTAATTAGACTTAGAATTGGACATGGCCTTTACCCCACTCACTTGTTTAGAATTAACTTAACAACCTCTAATTTGTGTGAATGTGGTTCCATAGGAAACCTAGAACATATCCTTTTCCAATGTGATAAGCTAAAAAATAGAAATATCCTTTTTTCTGAACTCATAAATAAATTTGAAATCTTCCCATCCTATTCAACCCTATATCTTCTTTCCGTCGGTGACCTCAATACCCTTAAATCCATAGCCCTCTTTCTAGATAAAAATGATATCCACCTCTAATCTACCAAATCTTCACTCTTACACTAATAATTTTCTTATACTTTTTTCACTCCCACCAACTGTCTTACCCTCTATTTTATTCAATCTACCCTTTTTTCCAAACAAATCATTCTCTCTCACACATTCAATTCCTACCGTATGTCCACTTTGTTTGTTTTCCATTACCCAGTGTCTGGTCATAGGAAGTCGCTCTGCCGGGTATCAGAGCGTGAAAATGGTGAAGGGTTCTCACCCTCTCCCTACTCAACCCTCTTTTTATCAACCCCTCACCTTTTTCCATGTTTCTATTTTTCTCTCTTTTCACACCTCTAAAGTCGGTATCTAATCACCTATAACCTACTCACTACACGAAACACACTAGTCTAAAGTTGGCTGCAGGTGCTTAGTCACAAAGCCATTAAACATCAGAAAAAAAAAAAAAAAAAAAACATCGATATTTACTTTCTAGACATCAAGACGAGAGATTAAGATACCTCCCACACTTCTATCACTTACGGCTCCACCGGATCCTAAAAATGAACATTTGTGCCCGCTACATGACTATTTGCCAGATACAGGCAAAACTTTTGTTCGATTTTGATGTACCCAGTAAATGTAATTTTTAGAGAATTTGAAAATTTATGATGCATTACTTGGTGACTGACAGAATAACTCAATGACCCTGCAGAAAGGCCGCAAAGTATTAACGAAAGACTTCCAATATTGTCAAGACTTTAAATATCCAATACTTTGAGTAAAGAAAGCAAAGCAGCGTAGAAGTGTAACGTGGTTTTAACTTGGCAGGGAGCATAGAACACGGTCCCCTGTTACTTTAACGAGGACAGTGAGAAGAAGACAGTACAAAGTCTGGATATTTTTACAGGCTTTTAGTAATAAATGGCCGACTCCTTTACTTTTTCAATTCGTTGTATTCGTCAATTAGCATTGCATTGCATTGCATATTGGAACACTCAACCAGCATCATTTTGTGCAATAGAAACCCTCAAGAATAGATTAATTCTAAACCAGGTTATTTTTTTAGAGATAACATTTTTTCAGATATTTAATGGAAGAAAGGAAAAAAAAACGGTGGTTGTAAGATGTCGAGGTTTTGACCTAGCAATACATGAAAAAACTTACTGTAGAGGATCTCTGGGCTGCGGTTTTTTACGACTAGATTTTGGATCGCTTAAAGAATGCTCCCAAAAACTGTTGACACTGCTGTAAGCTAGAGTTGTCACCATCTGCAAAACAAGTGTGTTACCTAGAAAGAATTCCGGCTACAAAGATTCACTGAAAATGCGCTTTTCGCTGAAAATGACATGAGCTCTATGTTGCAGTGTACAGTAGCTACAAATTTGATGTCTGTGGAGATAATTTTGGTTTCAGAATATATGTAGAACTAATATGAAAGGTTATACAAACGACACTAGAAGAACCTTCACAGAAGTGGCTGCTAACTTCAGTAAAGGGAAATCAAATGCATTTTTACACAGTTAAGGCATAAAATAGACCTTTTGAGATAGCCCAGGAGTAAAATATTCAGTTTTCAGGCCTGAAACCAAATCATGTTGGAGAGATGGACATCACAACTAGGTGCAAACATGTCTTTTAACCCTTTGATTGGCGTGTTGCGTGTGTGTGATATTTGGACTGCAATGGGCCTCTTGCAAACTTTTGCTAAAGCAAAAATATGAGTTGTTTCATATAGAAAATGTCTCAGAAATTACGATGAGCTCATCGGCAAAGCTTGAAATGCACTCTTAACTTCGACGGAGCAACTATTGAGGATATTTTGTGTAGCTGTTGCGCATTTATTGCACCAGCCAAAGTTCCCTGTCTCGAAGCACACGCATGTGTTCCTGGAAATTTTGGGCAGGAATATTCGATTGGCGTTACTTTTGTTTAGGTTAAACCATGCCTACCGGGGGAACTGAATTGATATTGATCAACTGAAAAAGCGAATTTTATTTAAAATTTCGAACCTTCTTGGGAAGTTTTATTCCAGTTTGTTGCATCAATCACCAACACCAGTGGACACCGTTGTTACCAGATTTGACCAATCAGATCCGTTGATTTTTGATAGGTCGAACCTTTATTAGAACCACCTCGCGAGTTGGTTCCAAAATCACGCACCAATGTTACGATTCGTTGGTTACCGAATCAAAGTTCCGAACTCAAATAGAATGGCAGCTCGGAGATTCGGGCACAAAAGTAGTACCGAACCTCTAAATAAAATTTGCTTGAGGTGGATAGTTTGCGTAATTTTGACTGGAGTGCCTTTAAGGGGAGAGTATGGAAAACTCTATTAATGGAGCTCTTAGAACCCAAAAGGGCAACGATGTGTAAACGAAAATCACTGGAAAAATGCTGCTGCCAACCTATGCATTCGAAATATTAATCAGTACTGCCGACAGCGCATTGTAAACTAGCGTCTTCAAGAATTAAGACTTTGAAACTGAGAAAATGAAAGCGAAATCAAAGTTTTATACGTGCTATTATAATGTATGATCAGTTGTGAAACGACGGGTAGTAAGAATTTTGAAACTTGGTACCACTGGATAATTCGAGTTCATAGGTGGGCAGCATTTTTGGGCCCCAAACGGAATTATACGATGCGGTCCAAATGCCAAAGCGCACTCAGTTATGTGACTCGCAGGGGCACACCAACCGAAGGATTAAAAATCGAACAGAGAAACGGAATCGTAACATCTGTTAGGATCTGTTTACTTTTTTAAGTAATTTAATCAAGCGCTAAAACTTGAAAAATGCACATGCTCAATTTAGATTGATAAAATACTTACAGCTAACTGAGTAGCAGCCCATGTGGAGTTATTAATAGACCTAATTTGAGATATGTGTCTGCCAAGACTGCGATGGATACTGCAGCATTCATTGCAAACCAGTAATCCCCGATTGATAAGCGCCCATGGAGGATCTAAAAATTGATAAGCACACTTAAGGTCATAAGAATGTTTGAGGACTGTTGACAGAAAGTATCTCTAAAATGTGTTATTTCAGACAGTAAATCAGAAATGGGTAAAAGCAACAACTGCTTTAATTTCTTTTTCTTCATTTTCAACAGATTACGACAGCTTATAACAAAAATCGCCACGCGTTAGTAAACAGAAAACTTTAATCGTTTAAGACCGAAGCAACTAAAAAATTTGATCATTCTGTCTGAGGTGACTATAAAGAGCCTCCCAAAAAACGGGCTTTTTTTGGCCCCTTTTCTAAAACTCGGGGATTTCATTCCTATGTGGCCTAAATGAAGCCTTATGATGAGCCAAGCCTCCCGTAAAAATTTTAGCTTGAGTATATGTCTGATTTCCGAGATACAGCATTACAAAGTTGGCATATTAGAGCTTTAAAATTCTCATATTTTCAAGTATCTTATTTTTTGTGAACAACTCCATTGAATAGTTTATGATATTTTGTGACATTTTATCAATGGTTAAAGTTATTGTTGAATGCATAGTTCTACTGATACGGTAATACTGCTAATTCTGTTGATACAACAGATTAATTTTACGAACACCTGTTATTTATACGCTAAAGATACTCCGTTTTCCAAGGCACAGGGGATATGTGGTCTATATTCAGATTTATTTCTACTGAAAAAACTCGAATTTTTTCATATTCTACCTATGTTTACATTTTCATTCTACCTGAAAAAGGGTTCCATTAACAATTTAATTGACGCAGAATATTTTAGATTATGAGGCAACGCTGATGCTGAGTCCTCCATTATGTTCCGTAAACTCACTTGGATTACATTCTAAAAGCAGGAAATTATTGGAAGTATCCATATTTTAAATCTATTTTGTACTCGTATGTTCATAAATATATAAAATTGACAACAGTGCCATTTTTGACACCAATTTATTGTCACCAAGGATTAACAGAAGTCCTCCTCATTTATTGCTTCACAATATTAACCATTGACACTTTTTCTATCTTGTCTCAAATAAAATGACAATAGAAAATAGACATTTTCATAGATTAAATATGTAAACTTTACAACATTGTAACATCGCATGCTGAAGTAAATTATTTTATGCATCTACGAGCATCACAATTTTTTTTATTTCATGCCCCGAAAGGCAGTTAGATCTTCACTGAAATCGGTTTGAAAATGAGAAACATACCTATTAAAAATGAGTATTTTTAAAGCCCAAAAATGTAAACTTTGCAACGTTGTACTGCCATTACAAGGCTTACCCTTGAGTCAAAACTTTTTTATGGAGCCTTTCTATCATAATTTATTATTTGCGCTTCGTAAGTATTGTAAAGTTCACCTTGAAGTTGGTTTTTCAAAGGAAATCCGTAAAAATATGAAGAATTTTAAGATTCAAATATACTAACGTTGCAGTGCTGTATCTCGGAAACCAGACGTATACTTAAGGTAAAATTTTTACTGCAGTCTTACCTCATTACTAGGTTTCATTTAGGTCAAACACGAATGAAATCCCCGAGTTTCAAAGAAGGGGCCACTTTTAGGGAGACTCTTTTGGACATTCGTCTAAAAAACTTTAGGAGTAAAATTTTAAGCCACTAGTTTTATCAGGGTGTATCATTAATATAAACTTCGAAGGATTCTGCCTTTTTCTATTTCACTCGAGGGGAAGTGTCCCCTCCCGGACTCTCTTCCCCACCCGGTGACTGACGCTGCGCTGTGCTGAACGGTTCAGCCTGAACCTTTCCCCTACGTCTGACCGTTCCCCACTCCTCTGTCAATCGAACCAT